ATGCGACAAGGGCAGCCCTGAATGTCACTGACACGTGAAATGACAGACTTTATATTGTGTTATGGCATTTAGAGGGCCCTAAAACATCAGGCTTTGTTGAGATGAGGTTTCTTTTCTTCCATATTTGTGAATAATGTCAGCTGAAGGAAGTGAATACATTTTGAAGTTTGGGGATTTAAGCAGTATATGGTTTCAGGTGACTAGAGGAAAATTTTAAAAACCCACACTTTTAAAATTTAATCAAGTTTCCAAGCAGTTGCTTTAAGACTATATAGAGATTTTGCTATCAATACTTTTTACTTGTCAACATATAGATATCAATAGCTTCGCTTTGAGGATTATTGATTTCCTTATATCTAAAGTCCCAGAGATCTATAAACCTTATACATATTTCAACACTAACATATTAATATGTCAATAGATCTTGTTAGGATGAATTATGCTTCCATTATGAAGCCCAACTGATAAATGTTTCGCTATGTCATACCTATTTTTCATTGATATGAGAATTTTTCTTTTCGATTCCCTCAATTATAAAGTTAACTAAAGGAGAAACGAGGGAAATGAAAGATGATACATGGAAACAACCAGTCATGCAAGGGCAGGAGGCTTAAGAATGGCAGGCAGCTCAGAAGGTGCCTGTCCCTGGTTATCTAGATCTCTTCCTTGGCAAGGTAACAACAGCCCCTTGTTGAAAGCTCCTGGCTTATACCTACTCTGACTGGCCCTTTCTTTGTCCCCTTTCAGCCAACAAAACACAGTAGGTTACATTCATTAGCCTGGGTTTCCTTCATAGCCTGGCATACTGGGTGCCAGCCTCCATCAGTGGCATCTGATCATGCTTCATTTATCCTCAGCCCCTTTCCATTTTCCTATAACAGAACAAGATTTCTTAAAAAGAACTAAGTGAAATCATAGTTGGCAGTCTTTATAAGTAAACACACACACACACACACACACACACACACACACACACTTACAAAACAAATAAGCAAAAGAGACAAAGTAATCTAGTTGGTCAAGATCCGAATAGTTAGAGAATAATTTGGGAAATAAGAAAAGGACATGGTTAATAATTTAATCATTGGTGGCAAGACAGAGTTAACAAAATGACTCAGCTGACAAGTATGTTAGATTACAAATACTGTGCCTGAATCAGTAGATAGGTATTGCTATTTTGCTTGTTTGCTGGTGAATTTGTTAAATTATTCAGTCAAAGACATCATTTCCCAGACATTACACACATGGCTAACCCATCTTAGAATGTTCCCCTTCTTACATCTTATTTTCTACTCCTCTCCCTTCCATCTTCTCCCCAAACTGTTGACAACTTTCCTCTATCTATCCTGGGTAAAATTCTCCACGTCTACTTATATTTGCTTGTGTAAATGCCTCACTTGCCCTTTAAGAGTCTTCCCAAGGGGCCTGTAAACTCCTGGAGGACATTCACCATTTCTGACACTTCTCTCAATTCCTTCATTGCACCTCCCATATTTAGGGCACAAATGAATTCATCGATTATATAAATATTCAACCTTGTATCTCTATAAGTGGGCAACTGAAAAAAATGCTATTTATTATTGACTCAGTGGACCCCTTGAATTATAGAATTGGGGTCAGTTAATTGAACTTAAAGTCATACGCTGACCCTCACTCACTTCAGTGTTCCTCTTACTCTATTGGAAGTTGGGAGAGAAAGGTGAGTAAAATGAGGCCTGTAAGTTCAGGATCCTTATAGCCAATGAGTGATCATAGGTCCACTCCCCATTTTGTAGATCAGGAAACTGAGGCTTAGAAAAGTAAAGTGACTTGCCAAGTCATGCAGTGACAAGCAGCAGTCTACCACTGTTTCTCCAGCTTCAGCACATCATCTGCCCAATTTTTGTTGCATATAATAACATATGTTCAGTTTCTAATATTTTCTACTTAAATGATTAAAAAGGAATCTTTAGAATTATAAATAAATGACAAACTGATGTCATTTTCTATAAGTATATACAAACATTCACTATTTCATTTTTTGCACACCAATGTGAATTTATTTAGCACTCCTTACTGTACACTTAGAAATGGTTACGGTGATAAATTTTACATCATTATACAAATATTCTTTAAAATACATACTTTTTTAAATAAAAATTTTAAAAGTTGTTTTACTACCTGAAGTCCACTTTTTTGGAAGGTATTACATCAAAATCCATATTGACCAATCAGATAGATTAATGTGTATTTCACATAGCTGTTAGTATATACATACATTATGACCCACATTTGAAAAATCAAATTTTTGAAGAAGTACTATCTATTTGATTAAATCTATTTTGCTCCAAATGCAAAAAATAAAAACAAACCAAAACCAAAGAAATTCAGAACCATTCAAAATCAGTCAAGAAAAAAGTCTATTAGCTATGCAAAAGTGAATCTGCTAAAAGGTATTCAGCAAAAAACAAAGAAATCAATTAGAAGGCATGTGTGAGACAGTGAGACGAAGAATTCAGAATTAGTTTAAAAAGGCAGAGGAAAAACAGCACTAATTTCTATCTAGCAGTTTATTTAAACTTTGCTAAAATCAGAGCTAACAATTCTATTGACTCTGCAAGATTTTCCTATTTCTCTGTAGATAAAATAGTATAGTCTGAATACAGGGAAAAAATAAGTCTTTATTTTTTTTCCCCACTTTATTTTTTTAAATTTTTTTTATATATATTTTTTATTGATTAAGATATTACATATGTGTCCTTATCCCCACGTTACCCCCTATACCCCCCCCGCCCCACCCCCGAGTGTAGCAGAACCGAAGTGCACAGACTCCTGGCCTAAGGTACACAGGTAGCACGGCAGTCCTTAGTCTTAAATATAATGTGACCATTTCCCTTAAACTTGAGATACAACGCAAACATAAATTCAAGTGAATTGAAAACTCCAGGTAGCTGAATTCTAGTTCATTAAGCCGGAATAGCATGTCATTTTCAATAATAAAGGATGCTTTTGGTGTACATCTAGATAAAATAATATTGCACATGGGCATGCTTAAATTGCTTCTTTTGAAGTTAGGGTGGAACGCTTCTAATAATACTGAAAGAATCTAAATGCTGTCCATCTCCTAAATGTTATGTCATCCCTAACCAAGACATGTTCAAATTAAACCTTTCAGAGCTCAGCTTAAATGTCAGGAATAACATTCCTCCCTCCCACCATTATATTCACTTATTTTCCTTACTTTCCCCCTAAACATGTAATTCCAAGAATTGAGAAAAAGCACTTGTTAGAATCAATGCCTTTGTGACTCAGCGAGGATTATTCTATGATTAAAACAATGAACATCTACTATAATTGCCGCCTGATAGACACAAGCTGGAATTTCACTAAAGTCCTTATAGAATTTTATTATTCAAGGCTTATTAGAAAATTAGATTATATATAGATTCATTTTGAGAAAATTTTACTTTAAGGATGTTTTACTTCTCACAAACCCTGATACCTCTGACTGCATATAAACCATCCCATCTCCCTGTTCCGACTTCGGAAGCAGCTAGTTTTCTTTTCACGAATATACTACTACCTAACGAACAGAGGGGCAACAAGAAAACTCCCTTCCAAGTTCATGTGCAACCAACTGAGGCTTTCTTCCAGCGTAATTTCACACAGTCCATTTCGCCCTGCTTTGTCTGTGGGCTTGTTCCGCTTCCCTTCTACCCCAGAGTCAGTGGAGAGCCTGGGGCACAGCTACTTGCACTCCTATCCAGGTGTTATCTACAACCAGCTGTGAACCTCCACCATGTTTTTCACCTCTGTGCTTGACTTCTTTTGTCTGTAAGCAGAAACAGTGACAGATCCTACCTGCTGGGGTTCTTGTGAAGATTAAATGAAATAATGCACATAACATGATGACAGATAAGTGCTCAGCAAGTGTTAGCTGTTACTCCTGACAAGATACTTTTCCTGCCGAAGCCGGTTTGGCTCAGTGGATAGAGCATCGGCCTGCGGACTGAAAGGTCCCAGGTTCGATTCCAGTCAAGGGCATGTACCTTGGTTGCGGGCACATCCCCAGTAGGAGAAGTGCAGGAGGCAGCTGATCGATGTTTCTAACTCTCTATCTCTCTCCCTTCCTCTCTGTAAAAAATCAATAAAACATATTAAAAAAAAAAAAAAGATGCTTTTCCTTCCAATTTATACCAGGCTAGATATCCCCATTACACAGTTCTATAGTATCTTGACCTTCCTTGTGACACTCATCATCCTTTTATTTATTTAATTTCTTAAAATATATTTTTATTGATTTCAGAGAGGAAGGGAGAGGGAGAGAGCGATAGAAACATCAATAATGAGAGAGAATCATTGATCGGCTGCCTCCTGCACACCTCACATGGGGATGGAGCCTGCAACCCACGATGTGCCCTGACCAGCAATTGAACCATGACTTCCTGGTTCATAGGTCGATGTTTGACCACTGAGCCACACCGGCTGGGCACTCATCATACTATTAATTACTTATTCAGTGTTTGTCTTCTCAGCTAGATTATACACACTCCAAGAACAGGCCTGTCTTTTATTTATTTATATTTTTAAATATCACTAGTGTTTAGCACAGAGCCCGAAAATGGATATTTATTAAATGAGTGAAAGTTCATTGTTCAATCTCTAAGACTGATGAGTTCTTTGGACATATATTCAATTATCATTTCTCAAAATGGGTCAATTTCCAGGAGCTATGAATTGAGAGAAATTGGTATTGTGCTAAGCGTTAGTTTTTTTCTATAATTCAGAGGAAAACCTAATAATCATAATGACAGTAGTGCTTACCTAAGGTTTTCTTACCCTCTTGTGCTTTACAGTGTGTTCATAACTCTTATTTTATCTCAGAGGCTCAGAGAATATGAGAGCTGGAAGAAACTCCAGAGTCATCTCATCCACAGCTTCATTTCAGAGATAGGGAAACTGAAAGTTGTCACTGTACCAAGAGTCACCGCATTCTCCGAATGCCTCCCACAGAAAGGACACGAGAAAAGCCCTAGGACTTTAACCATGTGATCTATGGGCTTCAAAGTCTGAACTGTAACTTTCCTGGGCATAAGTCAAATAGCCTGTGAAAGGATAGGAAATCCCACAAAAATGGGCAAATAGAACTAGAAGGTGGGACTACAGTCTGATGGGCCAGACAGAGTCTTCCCTACAGTTTCATGAGCCCCAGCAAGGGGGGGCGGGCACGCAAGGCTCAGGACGGGTGCTGTTGTCTTATGAACTGAAGTGACCCACAGCAAGGCCAGGCAAAATAGGCAGGGGCTGCTCCCGAGAGACCCCCAGCAGTGCCTCTGCATGATTCAGGTCCCCCCATTGGAGCCAGCTGGGTGACTGCGGGCTTATCAAACGCAGCCCCGTTTTCTGGCCAGCGTGGAGAAACACTCCTGGCATCTGCCTGTGCATTCTGTCCTTTGTGCTGACTGCGGATCTCTCTCTCCCTTTAGCTTGCCAACATGCAGCACCCGGAGTCTGCAGGAAAGTCCCCACATCAGGTAGGCACAGAGGAAATGCTGTTGCTGATGTAGTAGAGAACGGTCTTCCACATGCCCACAGGTTCAATTAAGTTCATCCCTTCATGTTTCAGGCCCACATATTAGAACTGCAGGACTGACTGCCCAGTCCTCTGATTTGGGCTGCACTGCAGCCTGCATAGGAGTGTTACCTGCCAGAGCCCCCACAGCACCTGAGCAGAGTGGGTGGCCCAATGGGGTACTTAATAGCAGAGTTGATGGGGGAGGGGGGAGCTGAGGTTAGGGGCCTTCTTTTAAACAGAGTTAGACTCAGATAGTCTTTAATTCTCACTTTAATCTCCCTTCTTGATAGCAAGTGGGGTTGGGACAAAGAGCTGACATGGAAGACGGGCAAAGTGCCTGGCTCAGTGACATACAGACCATCTGGAGTGGGGTTCGCTACGACTGTGAGAACAATGCGGTGCTTACTTCTGGGCACCTCTGCTTCCTCCTCAAGGGCTGGTCTGTACAGCTGAGCGTTCCAGGAAGCCCTTCCCACCATCTCCTGTCACTGCCCTTGGAGTCCCCTCACCCAAAGCCTTGTTAGGCTTCGTAATTCTATAGAGATATCGACGTTTCCATCACATTCAGCCCACAGTTCTGATGGGGACTCTGCACACACCCTGAGTTAATGCCAAGCGAACATAGAGCAAGTTGTTTAAAACTATCTAAACTCAACAGGAGAATAGCCATCCAGCACCATAATTTTATTTACTTTCAGCGGCTTGAATGCAAATGTCATTAAATCTTTACAACAGTTCAAAGAATTACACAGGGGAGCTTTTCAGTGTAATACGAATGATAAATCTTCCACATGCTGTGGGATCTACTGGCCTATAAAAACAGAGTGAAGCAGTTTCCACAGGGCTTAGTTTGCTTGAAATAACTTAAGAACAAAGCTTCATTCTTCCTATGGGGGAAGGGAAGGGAAAGGGAATAGGAGATTTGGAAGAGGGGGGCAGCCAACCAGACTCAACAGAAATGCTTGGACAGAAACTGTACTTCTGCAAAATTCAACAAATTATGCCCCATTATGTGCAAGTCTATGCAGAAGTGGATCCCACCTTCCAGTAAAGGAGAAAAAAGTGCAAATAAAGTATCCCCCACATACCCCCCCCCCCAAAAAAAAGATGACACAGAGACTGGAATGAACCAAGCAAACTTGAATCCAGACACCCAATATAGTTTATCAATACATTTTTGTAAAATCAAATTTTCTCTAACTCCTTTACTTAGGCTAGGCAGACCTGGTCTTGGTGTTTTATTTGTAGATTGTAGTGTAATAATTGGAAACCTCTCCACATTTATTAACATGAACTTGAAGCTTTTCTCCTGATTTTTTTCAGCTTCCCTCCCTTTAGCTAAGCCCTTTGCTGTGCCTTGGGGAGGCTATGAGTCAAGAGTGCAAGGTCCCACCCTAGCCGGTTTGACTCAGTGGCTAAAGCTTCGGCCTGTGGACTGAAGGGTCCCAGGTTGGACTCTGGTCAAGGGCACATTCCCATGTTGCAGGCTTGATCCCCAGTAGGGGGTGTGCAGGAAGCAGCTGATCAATGATTCTCTCTCATCACTGATGTTTCTATCCCTTTCTCCCTCTCCCTTCCTCTCTGAAATCAATAAAAATATATTTAAAAAGAAAAAAGAGCACAAGTCCCCTCTAGACATTTCCCTTCTGTTAGAAGACACTACAAGTGTCCGGGGAGAGGAGAATGTTGGCTTGAGCCTGGAAAGGGGTAGAAAGTGAATCCTGGAGGCTGCTCAGAGGCAGTGCCCTGGAGGAAGTTTCAAGCAGGAGAGTGGCAGAAATTAAGGGAAGGGTGGGTGTGCTTATAAAATGGCTTTCAGTTAGCCAGGACTTTCCAGGCTTCCATAGTCCTGCCTCCCACTTTCTAACTTGCCTAGGACCCTGGAGCACATGTCTTTACTCTTCCAACAACAGAGGGCCCTCTTCTGTTTTCCTGAAGATTCAATCATTTTATTTTCTTCAAGGTCCCATCAGCTCTGCACTGTAGTGGATAATGAATTCATAGAAAATTCAGATATTAGGCATATATAACACAGAATTTATGATCAAACAAAGAAAATAGGAACTTTTGTCTTCATATTTGGAGATGGAGAGGGTAAGAAAACGTCACCTCTCCTCGGGTAGAGAGAAGAGAGAAGACCCTTGGCCGCCTCTCCTGCACTCCTAACGTGTATACTTCTCAGGTGTTACTCTTCCTGAAGCACACAGGGCATCCAGACGCCAGACTCAGTGGGGCTATCAGAGAGCTCACAGCCTAGGATGGGAGGCAGTTTGGCAAAGGTTAAGGGGGATGGAGAACTGATGATCAAAGCAGGACGCTTCCCCAGCCACTGCATAGTCTGTGCCAGGCATAGTTCCAAGTTGGTTACCTATTAGAACTCACGTAATCCTTATTTTCTATCAGGTACGTACTCATCCAACCTCTAGTTTTACAGAGGAGGAAACTGAGGAACAGAGAGATTAAGTAACCTACCTAAGGCTGCCCAGCCGGGAAGGGGCAGGCAGAGCCAGGACTCACACCTGGAGTCTGGCTCCGGGGCCTGTGCTCTTAGACACGGTGCTGTGCTGACATGTGCTGAAGGAGCAGGTGAATTCAGGAATTCACGAGTGCTCTCATCTCATGGAAATTTCTTGACCCTTGGCCCAACTTTAGTGGACAGAGAACCCTGAGAATATCTGAGACTGAGTTCCTTGCTAGTCCAGCAGGATGGGAGTTTGGGGCTAGAATTTAGTGTGATTTTGTTACAAATAATAAAATGGCTCTTTCTCTGAGAGTGTTGATGGCTTTTGATACCTGCTGCATAGTTCATGAATAACTTATTTTGTCTTTTCCCTGTTCTTAATAAATAGGAACCCATTTTTGCATCAGACAAAGACTCTTCCACCTGCAGCACAGGCCAGACAAGCCTGCAAAGGGAGGGAAATTAATGTTATAGATTCATTGGCAGGTCTTTATGAGAAGAGGCCTAAGATTAACAATCATGTTGTCTGGGAGGAAAAGAGGCAGGAAAGCCAATCTATACATTGCTGTTACCGAATTCAAGGGCTTCATCGCTTGGAGCACTCAATTCAAGAATGAGATGCGGTTGTTGTTAGGTAGTTTTATTTACTTACAGCAAGTAAAGGAGGCAGCGGATTCACATGCAAAGTTCTGTCTCCTGGAAGGAAGGCTTAGTCATTGCTTATATACATTACTAGAGGCCCGGTACATGACATGTGTGCACAGGGGTTGGGGGAGGGTGGGGGGGAGGAGAGTCTCTCAGACTGGCCTGCGCCCTCTTGCAGTCCGGGACCTCTTGGGGGATGTCCATCTGCGGGGAGCGGACCTAAGCCAGCAGTCGGACATCACCCAAGGGGTCCTTAGCGCTGCTGTGCTCTCCAGCAGTGAACTCAGCTTCTGGCTGAGTAGTACTCCCCCTGAGGGAGCACACTGACCACTAGGGGCAGCTTCTGCGTTGAGCACCTGCCTCCTGGTGGTCAGTGCATGTCATAGTGACTGGTCGTTCTGCTGTTTGGTCAATTTGCATATTAGGCTTTTATTATATAGGATTTGGTTAATTACATGTTGATTTCTTCTTTGCAGTTTGTCTACACTTATCCAGTTGGGTTCCTGTCAAGCCCATCTTGTTTACAGCTGTGTCTGCAAAATACTGTGCTACATTTCAACATTCAGCAAGAATAGCATTTGGTAAGAACTGCCCAGACCCTGAGACATCTTGTCCTACCTAACATAATTACTGTTGTGAATTGATGTATTGTTAGCGTGTCACAAATTACTATACCTCATTTTTGTTCAAGGTCACACTCTACTTGCTCCCAACCTGGATCACCTGCTTTGATTTACTGTCCAAAAAGCAGGATTCTTCCTGTGCCACGGCAAGGTTTCAATCCTTGCACAAGGAGCCTCATTCAAAGAAACATCCCAAGCCCAACCTCTGCTCCCCACCTCCCTGCACACTCTGACCAGGAAATAGCTTCAGATTTGCTGACTTTGATCAAGCCTCCAGGAACCAGTCCTGTGTTTCTGTTGTCTCTTAGCAACGCCTCACAGTGTGGCTTTATTCAATTGCCATCCTCACCTGCCACCTGAGAAAGGAAATCTCTCAGGATAAGGGAAAACCTTCTAGATCTAGTAGAATGCTACTCTCTAATGCACAGACCTGGCACTCTCCGTAAAGATTTTCTGGGCCTGATTTCAAATTCTCCAAAATTGTATTAAATGATGCTCTCTGTTTTTGCTAAAATATATGACTTTTATGATATTTTATTCTTTCTAATAAGTGTAGTTTACTCTTTAAAAAATTTTTTATACTTTTGAATAAAATGTATATATATATTTTAAGCTAGAATCTTAATTTTCAGTTTGGAAAGCACTCGCTCTATGTATATATGATCACATAGTTGTTCTGTTCCTTTATAATGAATTATATAATTCACTCCTGAATGCAAGAGAAACCCCAAAATGAAACCCTTTTTACATTCTATTAAGCCACCAAGATTTCCTTCCTTCACTCATGGCCTCTGAAGCCCATCCCATTACAAATCTCCCCCTAACTAAATGGAACAGAGATGGTGACTTCTCATATTAGGATGCACAGATAGTAACTTGCACAACTTTCCTATTCAGCCATCACCCCATTGTAGGCCTACTCTGATTATTACACAAGAGGTAAACATTGTCCTTATTCTGCTGATATTCCTTGTATATGTCTAAAACTGCCTCTTTGCCTAAATGTTTGCCTGCCTTAGACTTCAAGCTTGTAGAAACCAGGGAATGGACCTTCCATCTTTTTTGTGCTTTGTAAAGGACCTACAGAAACATTTAATATATTCTTTTAATGATGCTTAAAGTAACTTACATAGTCAATATTATACTTCCTGCAACTCCTTCTAATTGGATTTATGTAATGCTTTTTTTTCCGCCGGAGGGCTTCAGAGGCTACAAACAACAAGACAATGCAATAAATGCGCAGAAAGCAGCCAGCCATAAGTGGTTCACAAACGGCATAAAAAGGCAGTGGACGGGCAATTTGCAGAGAACCATAAGAAAAAGTTCACTTACTAAAACAGACTAAGGAAGAGAATGGATTTTGCCATTAGCTTTTGAAAAATGGCATGAAAAGTAGGAATGATTTATTTAAGTTGAAAACATTTATTTCGTAGGTTGTTTAAGCATGGAGTAAGCTGATTCATTAGGAGAATAGTTATCACTGTTGAGGGGACATCACTCACAGGAATTATTCACAGAGTAGATCTAGAAAACTAGGCCAACAAGCTCAGCCAAAGAGAAATTTTACTCTAATTCCTTGGCCACAGGCCCACCCAAGAACTCCCTAAACATTAGTCTAAGCCACAAGAGAAATATATTTTCATAAAACACCACTATTTATAACCCCCAAAATAGCTTGAAATTTTATTCTGCTTTGGGTTGTTGCCAACAGTGCCAAACCACCCCTTGCTTGACAAGTGACCAGCCTGGCGGCCTCACAGTTCAATGCCTTACAAATGTGAAATGGAGGAGCTAAGGGGTGTGAGGAAAGAACTGAAGGAATTAGTGAAAAGGAAAGTCATTTAGAGCAGTTTTGCCATAGGTGATCTCAAAGGTAAGAAATGCTTATGGAGCACCTATGTTATGTAATGCATGTTGGTTTTGTTGTCATTGTTTTTGACTTTGAGAAGACATTTTTTAAATCTGAGGCAGTGCAACAAGGAAGGGCTTAGTTAGGATAGAAAAAGCAACAGGAGAGAGCCTAGGTGGGGCTGCTTTGGCTCACTGGAAAGTCAGAGAAAAGGGGCCTTGAAGTCAGATTCAGAGGGTTAGCCTGGGATGAGCTGCTGGGGCCCATTGCTTCCCTGGTTGCAAGTCTCACGGGGGCCTTAGAGTTGAGGTGATACGCACCTGTGAGGGAAGAAAGGCATGGGCGTGCTCCCGAGAGGGAAAATGTGTTGTAATGCATTTTGTAGTGATAAACAATAGTTTTCCTATTTAATTTCTAAACATTATACACTGCAACAAATGATACTTTTTGAGGCTCTAAATATCAGAAGGATCTTCTCTATCACCTATCATTAGAATAAAGATTCATTTGGAGGAAATCTTTAATCCTTGAGTAACTGGAGTTTTCTCCCTCCTTCACCTGTCTTAATCCTTCATGACTTTATCATACCTGTAGTTCAAAACTGAAGAACTTCAGGGGAAAAAATTAGAGCTCCCTATTGTTCAGAGGATTTAAGTGGTGTGCCTCAAGTTTCTTCAACAAGATTAGGAAGTGGGAGGGAGGGATAGTAAATCCTTTAATCTGCAGAATAAAGGGAAGTGGATCATAAATGCATCCACTCTTCCCTTAATTTCTGTGTTTCTCTAGTGCTTAAAACTTTCCAAAGGCTCCCCATTGTACTTAGAATAAAATTCACACTCCTTATCTGAGAATGAGGCCCTATGTGATCTGTCCCTACCTATGGCCCTGACTTTTCCAATAATTTATGCTGATAATCCCACAGGTACATGGGACTCTTCTGCTAACTCCTTCCAGGAACCTTTCCCTTCCTGATCATGGATGGCTATTGCCTGTCATTCAAGTGTCATTCACCTTCTCCATGAGGCCTTCTCTCGTCACATAAACTATTCATCTCATCTCATCACTCCTCCCTGTTTTATTTCCTTCCAAGCACTTGCCACAATCTGAAGTTTGATGTCCATGTTTTATTTACTTGCTTATCATTTCCAGCTCCTAGCAGAAGGGACTTCATCTGTCCTACTCACTGCTGTTTCCCTAGAGCCTAGAACAGTGCCTGCCACACAGCTGGTGGTTAAGAAACATCTCTGGACTGAATGAACCCAGAAGTTATTTGTTCAGCAACATTTTTCATCTGGATGTGACCATAGTCATAGTCAAAAGCATCATCTCTGAACACACAAAATCAGAAGCTAAAAAAATCCACTGTAAAACTCATGAGATTTTATGCTAGATGAGCCACTTAACCCCTTTTTACTTTTCCTTTACATAATTAACAAGTTTGTCTTACAATTTAAACAAATTTGTTGTCTAGTTTCCTGGCCTATGGTGGATTAAAAGAAGTACATTAGAGGTAAACATGCTAATAGCAGCAAGAAAGGAGAGGCCGGCATGGAGAAAACTAAAAATTACTAAAAAGCAAAAAGAAGTTAGAGAGCTGAGTATTTGGGGGCTTATTAAGTATAGAAGCAAATAGTGTTACAGATCTAAAGTTGACAGCAAACAGTATCGCTATTATAGTGATTACTTAAATTATCAAGAAAATCATATTATATATGTCTAAGGAAACAGGGAAATAGCAAATGCTAACTGCTCCTTAGAAAAGTTTTTATCCACTATGTTATTTTTAATTCTTATTTTGAAGGGCAAGCAAAATTCCATTTTTAAAGAGAATTAATTCCTGTGGCACATGTTAAAGGAACTCCTTTCCTTCCTTCCTTTCTTCCTTCCTACCTTCCTTTCATCCCTCTTTCTCTCTCCTTTCCTCCCTGCATCTCTCCTTCCTTGCCTCCCTTCCTCTTCTCACAATTAGAACTGTGTAGCTAACTAATCATGGCACTTTAAGCTTGGGGAGCTAGAAAGTACATGGCTTACTTTGACTTTGAAACACACCAGCTCTGTAGGCCTTTATGGCATGTTCTTTGGGGTTCTTCTCCTGATCTTGTCCTGCTATTTTCTTCACCTCAACCCTGATTTATAATTTCTTAGAACTGATTCCTTATCACTACTATAGTAACCTTTACCATTATTTTAAGTTATTATTTGTGCTATAGCTGTGGGGTACTTGAAATCCTTTATGGGAAAAGGCTGAATGTATATAAACAAACTCTCCTGAAATCTCGCTGCTTATGGCATGGGACAAGTTGGGTGACATTTTGATTGTTACTTTATCAGACCATCAGATTGACCACTCAACGGAGAGTAACCCAAGCTCCTTGCAGATAAAATGGGATTTTCCAATGATAAATGCTTGAATAATGCCTGGGAGCGTAATCTGGACCTGGTAATTGAAAGGTTAATTAAAAAAAAAAATTACACATCCTGAAAATTGAAAGTTAAATTCCAAAAAGTTAACATTGACTAAATATAATCACAGGAAATATGCACAACACAAAGGGCAGCCAAAAAAGAGAGCCACAGCTGCTGAGCCTGAAGAAAGAAGGAAAGTGGGCTTCCTAAAAATGCAGTCCCGTCCCGCACTAGCCCAGCAGTGCTAACCACACGGAGCACCATTCTTTCTTTAGCCCACATTTTGTTCTTTGTGGATAAGGTTTAGTTCAAGAAATCGGTATAAACCAGTTCAAGAAACGTGGCTTATCTTTACTTTTTTGCTGTTGTGCTGACCTCCAATACTGGGTCAGGAGTTCCAGCGCATTGCTATAAAGTTGAAGAGATCGCATGCAGAGTCCAAGATGGCAATCTGTTTACTATAGCACCCCACTTTCACCGGAGGACTCACATTTGTGTAAGTCTTGTAGCATTTATGGTCTTTAAAAATCTACAAGGAAAACAATCTTTGAAAGAGAAAATTTACCATATCATAACCAATAACAGATTCTGGAAGCAAATCTATTTATAGACCACATAGGTATTAATTTGATTCTGCTATATTGCTTAGTTTAGGGATGCTCCTTTTAAAAATCTCCCCAAGGACTATTAAAAACTGGCTTCCCAAAAATCTGAGAGGACTCAGACAGGACATTTAGACAAAACAATGATCTTATACATTTTAGTTGACACCTCTCTGAAAATGTTTTTGGTCATTTATTGGGTTGGCTGCCCATAATTGCTCCCCTCCTCGCCACATCCCATTCATTTCTAGAAACTGTCCCTTTCCAAGATTTACATGGTTACAACCCCCTCTGGCTCTCAGCAAACCTGATAGAAACATGTGAGCTGCATCTAACCCTGGCCCCCACCATAGATTGGGTGGGCACCCAACTTGCACTGGACCAAGGAGCCTCCTCTCAGGGGAATTGGGAAGTGTGCCTATGTTGACTTAGTTGACTTGTGTCTAAAGAGAGGAGATATAAATTTGGGAATTGCGAGCGGCCATATTCCTCCCTGTGGAGCAGGGACTGGAGGAAGCAGATGTGCACACTGAGAAGGAATGGTTCCAAGAAGACTGCTGAGAAGGACAGAGGGTGATAGAGAGTAGAAATGAAAAGAGAAATCTGGTGTTCTGGAGCCCTCATTCCA